AAGTTTCCACTTACAAAGAAGATATTGTACCAAAAATTGACTGAAGTGAATTTCAAAGTAGGTCAAGTTTAATGAGACAAACCAAGCAATCCAATTAAAAATATTGTTTTATGCTTTTTTTCTTTTTCTAGCATTCAGCCTGCCTTGTGATGTAAAGTGAGGCCAATTTACATTCCATGAGCAAATCTGAGACTGGCATTTGATTCACTGTCTCATTCTGCTTGCCATGCATGTTAGGCAAGACTTGAATTCGATGCTCACGGAGAGTATATAAACACTTATAATCCTCTCAGCATGTGCTAAAATAATAATAGATATGAGAGTTTGATTTGCAAAACAAGTGTCTGCCAAGTTCTACTAGCCCATTTTTGAACTGATTCAGAAAAGCAGGATTCAGCAATGATTAAAGTGTTTCAGGTTCCTAATAATAGCAAAAGGAATTCCTGGCTTGAAGGCTGGCCCCACTGAGCTTGGTTCTCTCCACCAGACAGGCTTCTTGAGCTGTCTCTACAGACATTGTTACAGGTGTTCTTTGGTTTTAAGTAAAAACCAGACTGAATTGAATCAAGAAATCAGGAAAAGATAGTTTTCTTTTGACGTGCAACAGGGTTTATAGTGGTGCTCATTGAAACGCTGAGTTCCTTGTGTATTTCAGATGGAAATTCAACTATTCTTGGTTCAGAGGTACAATGGTAATTTACAAAGCTTTCTTTGTTCTAATTTTGCTTTTTTCAGTTTAGAGAGATATAGCAGAAGTTCACCAAGCTGCACAAAGCTTATTATTATTTTTTACTTTTAATTTTAATTAATTAACTTATTTTTTGGTAGCAGGGACTCACACTTGCCAGGCAGGCACTGTGCCACTGAGCTACATCCCTGAGCCCTGCACAAGTTTACAACATGCATCAAATTATCAACTAATTGAAATAATAATAATCCTCAAAAATTGCTTCATGCTTTTTATAATTTATCCTTACCTATTCCCCTTAACCTGTTCCCTTCATACATCCAGAGATCTGCTTTCTACTATTAAAGATTTAGTTATATTTTCTAGGATTTTATAATGGTGGAATCAAAGCCTGTACATTTTGGTCTAACTTCTTTCATTCAACATGATTTTGTCTGGCAATATTTTTTAAAAATTGTTATAAAATACATATAGCATTTCTGTGTGAGTTTTTTTTTTTTTTTTTCTATAACACAATACTTGGGGATCAGTCCCTTCTAAAGAAAAGAGATTTATTTAGCTCAGAGTTCTGGGAGCTGTAAGCTCAAGATCCACAGGCCTCATAGGTTGGCCCCCTTAGCAGCAGCATCACATAGTGGAGAAGTGTGAAAGAAAACAGCTCAGGGAGAAGGTGGCCAATATATTAGGTGGCCTCAGTTAATAACAACTTGTTCTTGGAAGAACTGACCAAGGTCCCAAGAGAACTACATCCATCCCTTCTGAGAGGAGCACTGCCAGCAACCTAAATGCCTTCTACTAGCTCCTTAACCCTTCTCCCCAGCACTCTGTACCACAGCACTGAAGACCAAGTTTCCAGCACCTTCACCCTTGGAGGACAGACACACCCACAGTACTGCAGTGACATCCACCATGGCTAAAAGTGTGTAATTCAATGACATCAAGTATATTCGTGATGTTATATGACCATCACCACTGTCTAGTTCCAAAACAGTTGTGTCAGCCAGAAAGGACACTGCTTGCTCCTTAAACTGTTGCTTCTCATCTCCCCTTTCCTCAGCCCCTGAAACCTTTAATCGACTTCCTGTTCCTGCGGATTTGGTGTCTGGTTTCTTTCCTATAACATATGCCCTGAAGGTTCATCCACACTGTATGATGTATCAGTACTTCATTTTTATTACTGGTTAATAATCCACTGTATGGATAGATAGCACTGATTTATCCATTGATGGACATTTGGGTGGTTTCTACATTTGACTTGTGGATAGGACTAGCATGAATTGTCATGTCCTAGTTTTTATTTGGATATCTGTTTTCAGTTCATTTGAATATGTATCACGGGATGGATTGCTCAGTCATAGGGTAATTCTACGTTTAATTTACTAAGGAACTTCCTCACTGCTTCCCAAAGCACTGTGCCAATTTACATTCCTTTTAGCAGCGAATGGGAGCAACAGTTTTTCAACATTTTTGCCAACACTTATTATTTTTCTTTATTTTTTACGGCCATCCTATTGGGGATAAAATGATATCCTTTTGTGGTTTTCATGAATGATGAATGATGAATGATGGACGCAGGGCTTCTTTTCGTGTGTGTGTATCCATTTTTACATTGTGTGTGTTTGCAGGGCCAGTATTGAGGACTGAGCCCGGGATTTCATGCTGAATTACACCCTCAGTCCTTTTTATATTTTTGCTTGGAGACAGGGTCTCACTAAGTCACTAAGTTGCTCAGGCTGGGCTTGATCTCATGATTCTTTTACCTCCACCTCCCAGCATGCTGGAATTCCAGGCATGCACCATAACGCCTGGCTTTCTATGTCAGATTTAGGCAAACGTCTATTCAAATCTATCATCAATTTTTAAATTGAGTTGTTTCTATTTTTGCCCTGGAATTTTAAGTGTTCTTTATAAACTCTAGGCACCGGACTCATCAGATACATGGTTTGCAAATATTTTCTCCCGTTTTGTGGGTTTTTTTTTTTTTTTAATGTGACGATTCTTTTAATGTGCTGATTCTGAGGTTACCGGTATTGTTGCTTTTATCTCCAGTTTGGACCTTCTCATTGCATGGTAGTGTTCTGTTTTATGAATATACCACATGTGTTTATTTATTCATCTGTTGATGGACATTTGGGTTGTTTCCAGTTTGAGGCTATTACTAATAAAGCTGGTATGAATATTCCTTTGCAAGTCTTTGTTTAGATACTTCTTTTAACCTCTCTTGGGTAAATATATAGACCAATGATAATTTAAACTTTTAGAACCATAGATACTATATGTAAGAATCATTTTCTTTGAATGGAAACTCTGAGTTTTTATTACTTTTTGAATAGATCATAGAAATGTGACTTTGGAAGGCATTTGAAGAACATGCAAATTTTCATCATGGTTTTCATAATCAGTCACCCATGTAATTTTTTATTTTGTTTTCTATTGTTGAATATTCCTTTGATAGTGTTTCATTTGCCAAATAAGTATAACCGTGGAAGTTTAGACACAAGGTAAGACAACAAAACCATAGAACTTCCAGGCAGAGACCCTGAGGTGATCTAATTCAGGGTTCTTGTTTTATAGTGAGGGAAATTGGGTCTGGAAAGGAGATCAGATTGACCCAGGGCTGTCTTAGTAGAGAATTTAAGCAACATAAGGTCAAGGTCTGTGCTCATGCGGTCCTCTGAAGCCTCCTGGTGAGGCTCCTACAGAGCCTAGCACTGGGTGCTTGCAGGGCTGTGTTGTACAGACGGATACTTCATTTGTTCCTAGGTTATCCCATTTAATCCTCCAACAACCCTGTGAAGTAGGTAGGGATTAAGAAACTAGTAGAGGCTCAGGGTCCTCTGGCCAGTGATGGGAGAGCCCAGGCTCAGAGCCAGGCCTCCTGACTTGTTCCATCTTGTGCTCCCTCTCCCTAATTTGAGCCCCTCTCCCTTTTCCACACCCACTTCTACCCATTTTGTCCAAGTCCCTCAGCTTCTCCCCAGGTCTGTGTTCAGATATTTCTCAGCTCTGCACCAGGGCAGTCCTTGCCTCCCCATTGCCTTGCTTAAAGCCCCACTGCAGCTTCTCATTGCCTGCGCGTCAGGACTGAGAAGCTCAGAAGCACTTTTCAGTCCCTGCCTCTGAGTGCTGCAGCCCTGGGCCTGGGGGCCTCACGTGGCTGCCCTCCTACTTCTCTCTTCCGCCTCCTCCACTCTCCTTCTCCTCAACCGTAGCCTTTGCTTCATTCAGGTGGATTCTGCTTAGGCCTCACCTCTTCCAGGGAGCTTTCCCTGACCCCACTGGATACACTGTGACCCTGCAGTGTGTCTCCCATACTTAGCTCTTGTTTGTCTTCCCTAAAGACCTACAGAGTCCTTGCGGGGAGGACCAGTGTCATTCATCTTGGCATCCTCAGCATCCCCAAGGGCCCGGCATGTAATTTGTCAATTATTTGACAGAGAAGGAGCTAAAGTGCAACCTGACTTTCAATCTAACTGGCTTGAGGGTGAGAAAAAACTGCTCCGGGTCATCTCATGGTGAGAAGGATGTAACTCTGCAGCCCAGCTTTCCCCAGCTTGTACTTCATTAAGGCTGCCTGTCTGGAAGGACCAAACAGATAGTGACGTTTTGGGAGGCAGCAGACAGGGGAGCACAGATTCAAAAGGTGTAGGAGGACGCGTTCCATCACTATGACAAAATACCTGAGAAAAATGACTTAAAGGTTCATTTTGGCTCATGGTTTCACTCCACGGTTGGCTGATTCTAGTTCTTTCAGGCCTGTGTGGCCAAGCAGAAATTGCTTACCTCATGGCAGCAATGATTTGCCTGAATCACGTGAGATTTATGATGAATTATTAGATTCATGAAGAAATAGAAACTAAATGATAGGACTGAAATCATGAGTAGCAAGATAACATGGAAAGTGGAAAACTGTGGGACGGTAGCATTGCAGTGTTCAGCCCACTAGGTTAATGTCACATCACCTGACTTGTGTCACTCGGTCATTCCTGACCAGGGGGCTAATTATGTGCAGCAGTTCTAGACTGAATTTCTTCTGTGAGATGGGATCTGGACAGGTGGTTATGACCACTTGAAATACTCTTCAAATCCCATTGCATCAAAGCTTTCAAGTACAGATACTTCTGCGTCACAAAAAAGCAGTTTAAGTCCTAAGCTAGTTCTCTGCTCATTTCAAGAGGTTTCTAAAATAACACAAGTCCAGGGAACCACAATACTGAGACACATCTTTATTATTACAGTGACATTTGGGATTATAACAGGATATGACTGTAACAGTGACAGCCAATTTGTGGCAACTTTAACAAACTTTAACACACTTTGGCAGCACATATACTAAAATTGAAATAGTTAGAGAAGATTAATGTGGCTCATGTGCAAGGATAACATGCAAATTCATGAAGCTTTCCATATTTTTAAATTTCTCAACAAGACATTGCAAAGAGAATGCAAAAGATCATACTTCATAACTACGCAAGCTTCATTCTAGGGTTCAACATATGCAGATCAATAAATGTAATTCACCACATAAACAGAAGCAAGGGGAAAGTCACATGATAATCTCACTTGACACAGAAAAGGCCTTTGATAGAATCCAACATTTATTTATGATAAAATCCCACATTCATTTATGATAAAATCCCAAAGAAAATAGGAATGGAAGGTGCTTTTTTCAATTCGATAAAAGCCATTGATGACAAACCTACCCACCAATATTATATTAAATGGGGGAAAAACTCAAAGCTTTTCGTCTAAATCAGGACCAAGACAAGGTTGTCTACTATTACTACTTCTGTTTGAAATAGTGCTTGAAAGATTAGCAAGACCAATCAGGCGAGAGAAAGTCATAAAAGGATATGTATAGGAAAATAAGAAGTCAAATTATCATTATTTGAAGATGGCATGATTCGTTACGTATAAGACCCTCCAATTCCACCATAAGACTCCTAGAAATAATGACTAAATTCAGTAGTCTAGTAGGATACAAAATCCACAAATCCTTAGGAATTAAGTACCCAAGGAAGTAAAAGACCTCTACAATGAAAACTGTAGTGCTCTGAAAAAGGAGACTGAAGGGAACATCAAAAAAAATGGAAAGATGTTCCCTCTTCTTGGATAAGCAGAACCATTACTGTCAAATGAGCATACTTCTAAAACTGATACATAGATTTAATACTATTCCAATCAAGACAGTAACAACATTCCTCACAGAACTAGATAAAACAGTCCTAAAATTCATGTGGGACCAGAAGAGACCCAGAATAGCAAAAGCAGTTCTGGGCAACAAGAGCAAAGCAGGAGGCATCACAATCCTAAATGTTAAGTTACATTACAAATCCATATGATAAAAACAGTATGGCACTGACACAAAGTATAGACGTGGATCAATGGAACAGAATGGAGGATGCAGAAACAAACCCAAGTACATTCAGCTGTTTGATCTTTGACAAAGGATCCCAAAAATATACTGAAGGAAAGAGCCTCTTCAACCAGTGGTGGTGGGAAAACTGGTTATCCACATGTAGAAGATTGAATCTACACCCATAATCTCTTACAATATATGAAATTAAAATTAAAGTGGATCAAAGATCTAAATATTAAAACAGAAACACTCTGCAGATGATAAAGTAGGTAAAACTTTTGAATATGTAGGGATTGGCAAGAACTTTCTGAATAGAACTTCACTTGCACGACAAATAATATCAATAAGCAATGAGTGGGATTATATATAATTTAAAAGCTTCTACACAGCAAAGGAAACAATCAACAAAGTGAAAACACAACTTACAGAATAAGAAAAACATAAGCCAGCTTTTCCTCAGATAATTAATATCTAGAACATACAAAGAACTCGAAACAATTAGACTACCAAAATAAAAGACCCAATTAAAAATGGGCAACAGAAATAGATACTTCTCAGAATAAGCACAAATGCCAATAAATACATGAAAAAATGCTCAACCTCTCTGGCCATTAGAGGAATGCAAATTAGAACAACACTGAGATTCCATCTAATTCCAGAAAGAATAGCCATCATCAAGAAATAAATAATAACAAATGGTAGTAAGGCTCTGGGGAAAAAGAACTCTTCTGCATTGTTGGTGGAAATGTAAACTAGTACAACTATTATGAAAATCAGGTGGAGATCACTCAACAAACTAAAACTAGAAATTCCATTCAACTCACCTTTTTCCCTTCTAGGTATCATCCCAAAAGCATTAAAGACATTGTATTGCAGTGATACATACATACCCATGTTTATAGCAGCATAATTCATAGTAGCTAAATCCTGAAAATGGCCTGTATGTCGATCAATAGATGAATTGACCAAGGGACCATGGTATTTATAAACAATGGAGTACTTCTATGCTATAAAGAAGAATAAATTTGGGTTATTTGTAGGAAAATGGATGCACCTTGAGGCCATTGTGTTAAGTTAAATAAATCAGACGCAAGCTTAAATATCACATGATTTTTCTTATATGAGAAACCAAAAATTTAAATCAATTAAAGTGCAAAATGATAGACAATAGGATGCAGGGAGATTGATCTTTTGCAGAAGGGAAGAGGACCAAGAGACAGAAGAATGCAGACAGGAAGGAGAAGTAAAAAGAGTTAGAGCATGCTATGTACCACTACCAATTCCCCAAGGTGAATGTGATCATTATGTACTATAAACACGTACCAATAAAAATTCTAAAAAATGAAGAGTTGCTGGAAAAATAAGTTATTGCTGATGATTTCTCACCGTGTCCTACCCTGGCCATCCTATTTAAACCATCCACTTCCTGGTAGCACTCTCTTACCTAACTCTATTTTGTCCACTTTTTATCTCAACAGATTGTGTAATTTACTTACTTGCACCCTTTTATTATTAGATCTTCTTTCAGTTGTCTTATATTTCCTCCACAGAAGCTCTACAATGGCGATGGAGTTTTACTCAGAGATTCCCCCCACCCCCCAGCACCACAGGACATTTCCCCATGAGTGGGAGGTGCTCGGTACATATTTGTTGAATGGTTAAATGAACTGTTACTTAAAATAACAATTTGAGTGACTGTCAGCTGGTTGCATTTGTTTCTTGTGAGCCCACCTATGATGCGAACTACGGTACTTGGGTTCCGGGGTCAGATTTTTGTGATTCAGGAAACCGGAAGTGTACTACATGGGAAGATGAGCCTGTGCTACCATCTGACTATTGGAAATAGCACTCATCCAGTTGGGTGCTACTGATGTGGCCCAGTTCCAGCAGCTGCTGGTCTAACTGAACTCCCTTTCGTTGAAATCTGAGCTGTATATTTGATAAGATCTTGAAGGCAGAGGGACAGCATGAGTGGATTGGCTCAGTCTCTTGAAAGAGGTGGAAAAAGACCATGTAGTCATAGGAGATTGGTAAAGTCAGCTAAGTCCACTTCTATGCAGACCATTTTTGGTATACTGATACGGAGAAATCTCAAGAATATGTTATTGCAGGAGAAAAGCAGGGTGCATGCAGCACATAGACCTGGCTCTCTTTTATAGAGAAAACGACACAGAAGGAAGATGCTGTGTATTCCTATTTGCCTCTGAGAGCAGAGAAGCCAGGAAAGAGGGAAGTTTGAAGTAGGGATAGGCCGGAGGTCAAAGTCTACTTGCTGCCTGGTCCCAGACACTGAGAGGAGACAGCCAGGAGAAGGAAGCTTGGGGAAGATGCTTCTCAGTGATGTGATGTGAATGAAGCCAGCACTTGGCTGTGGTGTCATTAAATACCAGGTTAGGAAAGGTCAGAGCACCAAGAAGCCCCTGCCACCTCAATGACCTTCACTTTCCAATATAGGGAACTACTTGTAGTTCACAAAGACCCAAAGTAGCCTATGGTATTTTCAATCAGAGTATTTACTCTGGGACTATACTTCTTGACATAGTTAGAGGAGGGAGTTATATATAAAGTGTCAATCTGGTAAAGTAGGATATAGAGGCACTGCCCTTTCTATAAAGTAGTCCTTGCAGAGACGATGGTAAGATGGTTTTAATTAAAATTCCTCCCAGAGATTTTTAATTCAGCACAGCCTGTGAAACATTTCACTATGTGGTGGGAATGTGACATGATACAGCCACCTTGGAAAAACTGGCAATGTCTAGCAAAGTGTACGTGCACTGCCTTTTATCATCCTGTCTGTAGGGCATATCCTGTCAATCCTATCTATAGGGCATATCCCAAGGTAGATAGGCAAAAATAACAAAAGACATCCAGGCATAAGGTGTTCCATCATGGCACCATCTACAAAGCCAAAGGCTGGGAACCAGGCGTCCATCCCTAGGGATGAGATGTGTAAACTAAGACATCTACCGTGTGTTCTATGTAGCACAGCAAAGGTAGGAAGGCAGTCTTTGCTGGTTCTGCGGAATGATATCTACAAGGTACTGTTAAATTAATAGTGGGTGAAAAAATGAGTAGCATGCTACTTCTTAGCTAAGAAATGCTCATATATTTTTGTAATTATCTGTAATTCCAGCTACTGGAGAAGCTAAGACAAGAGAATTGCAAATTGGAGGCCAGCCTGGACAATTTAGGGAGACTGTCTCAAAAATTTTTTAAAAAGGGAAAAATTGGGAAAATAAAAATGGTTATCTATAGGGAGGAGGATGGGTAACGGGGTAGAAACTAGGTTTTCTGAATGAATTGGTTTTTAGATTTGACTTTGGAACCATACAGATTTTTTTTAACTGTGAATAAAGTTAAGCCAGGTGTGGTGCTGCATGTATGTAATCTCAGCACTCTGGGAAGCTGAGGCAGGAAAATTACAAGTTAGCGGCTAGCCTGCAAAGTTTAATGGTTTAGTTAGAACTAGTTTCAAAAATAAAAAGGATTGAAAATAATTCCCTCAAATCAGAAGCAAAATTAAACAAACTGTGAGGATAGAGAATTATTCCTGATAACTTTAACACAATTTGATCATACAACCATAGTGGAATATATTTTAAGATAAAAATGAGCTCCAAATAAATCTTGAGCTGTTTTCAGTAAAACTGGTTGTAATAATACTGACATTAGTGCGCCAACACTAGTATATATGTGTGTCCCTAAATGTTTATTAGGACATCCCCCCAAATATACTCATACATATAAAGTAAGTAATTATGTTAAAATCATCAGAAATCAAAATTTCAGAGTGCAAAAAAGAGCACCACTTTTATCATCTAAGACAAAGTCAAAATCTTGTAATATTAAATTCAAATTTGAAATATCAGTATGTACTATGGATGGATATTCTTTTAAATAAGTATTTTCTAGACCTGTCCACTGTGCCACCTAGCAATAATGACTGACTGGGTGGCCAAAGCACCTATAATGTTCAGAGTGTGGTCTCTAAAACAATTTTCCATGAAAAAAGGAATTAAGAATTATTAGAAACATACCTGTCTCCAGGTCTGGGC